AGGACATCCTTACTGTAAGAATGGATTGACAGTTTGTTTGCACTGTGATTTCAATTAGATTACAGGTCTTGAATGCTAGATTGCAAGCTTCATTAAAGAAGAAGCAGCACTTTTACATCACAAGTTTCCACATGCCAATAAATTTACTGTTAAGAGCACAGAACTGTTTATCAAACTCTAGCTGATGGGTTTGAACACAAGCCTAGAGACACATCTCTTACAAAAGACTCTGCCATCAAACTAAGTATTCACCCTAGCATTAACCTGCAAAGCAGCTCTTGCAAAGTGTTCTAATGGATTGACAGCATTCAAAATGTGTCTGCACCCACAAAGATGATAACAGTACAAGGCAGATTTTGAAATGAGCCTGTCTCATAAATATGTAACATCAAGAAAAAGCAAACAAGTGATTTACTGTCACCCTCTCTCAACAACTGATCAAATTACCAATTTATGATGATCTATGTTTTACAACACCTTCCAAATGGAAATAAAATCTGCTGACATCACTACAACATGTTGATTTAGTTGACTTAAGTTACCCAAACTAATCACATAATTATTATGGTTTTATGTAAATCTGGTGCCTTCCACGAGAAGTGGGGCCCACGACTGAATATTTAAATATAGAGGAGAAGAAACCTCACTTGCTATTGAAGGGGTAAAATACAAGGCAGTTTACACCTTTAATGTTTAGAATTACTAATTTCTGCAGACTGTCCTTCCATCATATAAATCAATTACACTAACTCCAACTGGAGATGCATCTCTCTTGCAACCACATTGTATCAGATGCAGTCATCATTGTTTAGTTGTGATGAGGTTACACTTGAAACATGACCAGTTTTTTCTTTCCAGGTAAAGAGAGTCTGCTATCTATTCAAAAGGAGACAGTAGTTTCATTTCAGATTTTCTGTGGGTTTTTTTTTGAAATGTTGCTCTCAACTATCAGTCTTGCTCATGTTTGACTGGACAAGTCAGATCCCAGACTAAAATCTGATTTAATATCTCGAGTCATAGAGGTCGACAGCACGGAAGCAGAGCCTTAGGCCCAACTTGCTGCCCAGTTTTCACAATTAAACTAGCCTCATTTGCCTGCATTTGATCCATATCCCTCCATACAGATCCCATCCATGTACCTGTCTAAATGTTTCTTAAATGATGAAATTGTACTCACTTCCACAACTACCCTGGTAGCCCGTTCCAGAGGCTTACCACCCTCTGTGTGAAAAAAACTGCCCCTCTGGATCCTTTTGTTTCTCTCCCCTCTCACCTTAAAGCTTATGCCTTCTAGTTTTAGGCTTCCCTAACATGGGGAAAAGCTGTTGGCTATATACCTTACCTATGGCTCATGATTTTATTAGGTCACACCTTAGTCTTCAGCCTATCCAACTACTTCTTATAACTCAAATCTTCTAGTCCAGGCAGCATCCTAGTAAATTTTTTCTGCACTCTTTCTAGTTTAAAAAAATCCTTTCCTTAGTAGGGCAATTAGAACTGTTCGCAGTACTCCAAATGTGGCCTCACCAACGTCTTGTACAGCTGCAACAATCTGCAGTCCCATCTCCTACACTCAATGCTATGACTGATGAAAGCAAGCATACTGAAAGCCTTTTTCACCACCCTGACTACCTGTGACTCCACTTTCAAGGTGCTATGAACCTGTAACCCTAGATCTCCCTGTTCTCTAACACTCCCAGGGATCTATCATTGACTGTATAAGTCCTGCCTTGGTATGATCCACCAAAATGCAATACTTTACATTTATATAAATTAACCTCCATCTGCTATACCTCAGCCCGCTGGCCCAGTTGATCAAGATTTCACTGCATTCCCAGATAACCTTCTTCACTGCCCACTATACCGCCAATCTTGGTGTCATCTACAAACTTAATAACCATACCTCCTAAATGCTTATCCAAATCATTTATATAAACAATAACAACGGTGGACACAGCACCGATCCCCGTGGCACACCACTGCTCACTAGCCTCCAGGTGTGAAAAACAACCCTCTACGACCACCATCTGTCTTCTACAATCGAGTCAATTTTGTATCCAGTTGGCTAGCTCACCCTGGATCCGGTGAGATTTAACCTTACTCAACAACCTACCATGTAGTACCCTGTCAAAGGCCTTGCTGAAGTCTACCGCACTGCCCTCATCTACTTTCCTGGTCACCCCTTCAAAAAACGCAGTCAAATTCATGCAACATGATTTCCCACACACAAAGCCATGCTGACTATCCCAAATGAGTCCCTGTCTCTTCAAATGCCTGTAGATCCTGTCTCTCAGAATTCCCTCTAACCACTTACTCACCACAAACCTTAGGCTCACCGGTCTGTAGTTCCCAGGCATTTCCTTGCTGCTTCTCTTAAATAATGGCACTTTTTTTTTGTTTTAAAGAGGTGGTAAGCATGCAATGTTGCATAATTGGCTTTAACAATGAAACGGAAGTCTCTTATGCAAAAGAAATTAAGATAAAATGGAATGAACCAAACTACCTACTTATAACACAAATTTAAAGATTTTAAAACACATGGTTAAAATTTAATGCCATCAGTCCCAGAAGCACTCCCTCATGTGACTCACAGCAGAGAAAATTCCTCGACCACCTCTAAAGGACTTATTGAACTGTGGTTTCAACTTCCAGTCTTAAAAATCTGATAGTCTCTTCTTAGAGCTTTCATACCACTGAATTTAAGTTCTCTCAGCTTAAAGTAATCCCTTTAAATTTCAACCAAACATTTTTGGTCTGCAATGTATACTAAACTCCTTCCACGGAGGTAGCATATTTTTAGAATCCTAAACTGTCTTCACTCTTTCTCGAGAGTAGTTGCTTTACATATCCAGCTCCAGTCAAGAAATCTGTGGAAATATTCCCAGCTATGGATGTTTCCCCAAATGAAAACAATCAATCCAGGACTTTCTAAGTTGAAGCCTCATGCACATTGTTTACCTTATTCGCTGGTAAAATTCTGCCAAATGTAAATAAAACTCATAACTCTCCAGGAAGTCTTTTTCTCACAAACAAAAACAGAAATTGCTGGAAAGGCTCAGCAGGTCTGGCAGGTCTCAGAGTTCTGAGGAAGGGTCACTCAACACAAAGTGTTAACTCTGATTTTGCTCCATAGATGCTGCCAGACCTGCACAACTTTCCCAGCAATTTCTATTTTTGTTTCTGATTTCCAACATCCACAGTTCTTTTGGTTTTTATTCAGTCTTTCTCTCACACTGTATATTAAAAGAAACCACCATGGGTACAACAATACTTACGACTTAATCATTAAAACCCTTCAGACACACAGAAAACCCATATGCCAGTAGCTCAACTTCAAAAATCTAAACTCAAAAGTAGATGATATTAAAATACATATGTCATACACCTTGCATCACAATATTTCTCAAAGTATAAGTAAATCATTTTAACTGACAGGAACACTGACTTGATTTTAAATGCATTGATAAAATCTGGGTTTTTCCAACTTTTCTGAGGTCTTTTTCACCACTTCCGATTAGATTCTAGGAGGTGTACTACAGTAGTCATTGTAATCCTTTTTTTTATTCCTAATTGTGAATATTCACGATATAAGAATATATGAACTCAATTCATAGCATAAAGGCTTGAGATGGTGATGGTGGGCTAATGGTCTACTCCACCTTTACACAGTCTTTCCATTAGGACAATCAATCAATGCCATTATAGACAAGCTGAAATAATTGAGATTATATCAAAGAGTAGCACACTTCCTGTAACCTTATTAGATTTGTGCAGAATCCAACTTTGGATTTCAAGCTACAGGGTATAATGACATTGATGATACCAAGTTTAGCTTGTTAATGTGATGTGATGTCAATTATTTGACATTATAAAGTTTCAAAGTGAATTATCAAACTAATCATTTCATACAGACACTTACACTAGTGTCTAGACTAGTTCATAATAACTGCTCACTTTTATTAACAATGTTTATTTGTAGTATTTATATACACTAAATTTTTGTGTTGTAGTGTTTCAAGTGACACTCAACATGGAGATAATTAGGGGTCAAGAAGGCAAACGTTTTATTCTACCATTTGCACACAGGGATACAGCATGACAGACTGGTCAACAAACAATGGGTTATTTATACTGTCTACAGTATACCATTTTTCTCTTGACCATAAACCGTATGGGACAATTACAGTATTAATATTTCATTAGAGGGCTGGGCCTGCTGTTAAGATAAATGCTTCCCATTGAAAGGCTAATTGAGCTCCTGATATGCCCATATAAAGTGACCACGTCCCTTGAAAATGCAAACAGGTTTCTACTCTCAGCAATTATCTTTCTGTAACATTTAAACGTTTCTACTTCTACATGCATTATCATAGTTATGTCTCTTTGCGCAGCTAAATGGCTCATTGTCTCCTCGACATGTAGCTCTGAATTCAACTTACATTTGAAATGCTTTGTTCGTAAGCCATAAAGCCTCAACCCAGGGTCATCCCATACCAACCTCCCAGCCTATTATGTACCTTTTCATATACCTACTTGGTTGGCTAGGTTACTTCTGTACCCAATGTGCACCCATATGTCACACTGTGGAAGCTACTAACATTAACAACATAAAACAGGACCAAAAGTAGGATCAATATTTCAGGTTTAAAAAACAGAGAAGATTGAGGACAGTAGAACCCTTTTAAATCCTCTTCTGCATAGCAGATCAGCAGATTGGACTACCAGTGTATCATCATACAATATAATTTTGCAACTTTGAAGATCTGAGGTATTCTTCTAACTTTCAAACTATCTGCTTCTTTTACCTCCTCACAACATTCACAAAACATCCCATTCATCATAAACAGGAATGGTGCACTACATAGCTTTATAATCTGCCAAAAAGTTTTAAAAAAATTTTTAACAATAAGTGCTATGCAGTCCTTGCATTTAAGGAGCAGACTGCATTTTTAAAAGTTCTATCCAAATGTTAAAACTTCAGCTTGAGAAAAGGTTATCACCTCCTTTTGCTTGGGATGACTCCAATTTCTTCACTCTCACCGTCTGGCGTTACCTGTCGAGCCTGCCACCACTCATCATCTGATGCGTTGATCACATGCAGGATGTCACCAAAACTGAAGTTAAGGCCTTGGCTTGGAAGACCGCTGTCTTTGGTCTTGTCATAATCGAACAAGGCTCTAATTGTAACACAGTAGAGGAGAACATAACACTTTAATTATTGGCTTTAATTATAATTCATCACAAAATTTTCACTTATTTTAGACATAAAGATATTGAAGTAAAAACACTAAATTCTGCAAAATTATTTGTTACTTGACATGTGTACCTTGATCAGAACCGAAGACAACAAGTAAACGTGCAACTTAATACATTTGTTAAAAAGGAAAGATAATAAGAGTACGAAAATCAAAAGAGAAACAAACTGGTGCATTTAAATTGGCATAACAAGGTGTGGAGCTGGATGAACACAGCAGGCCAGGCAGCATCAGAGGAGCAGGAAAGCTGACGTTTCGGGTCTGGACCCTTGTGTCTCTGATTGATGTACCTGTTGATACTCTCTCTTCATTCACTTTGTTTCCATTTTAGCAATGTTACAAAAATCTGTCCATTTTCAATTCCAATTCCTACATGCTTTTGCTTTTATTCAGCTCTGAATTTTCTTTTATCATTTACTAGTTGATGTACTGTAGTTAGATTTCCAGAAGATATTTGATAAGATTAAAAAAAAAATTAATTATTCTGGAAAATACAGGCTTGTGGTTAGGGAATAACATATTGGCATTGATAGAAGACTGGCTGGCTAACAAGGAACAGTAGGCCTAAATGGGTCACTTTCTGGTTGGCAACATGGAACAAGTAATGAGCCACAGGGATCAGTGCTGCATCCCATTTATACAATATAATTTATACGAATGGCTTGGATGAAGGGACTGAATGTATGGTTGCTGAATTGCTGATAACTAAGATAGGGTAAAAAGTAAACTTTGAAAATGATAGGAGACTACAAAAAGGACTCAGGCTAATTAAGTAGACAATGATTTGGCAAATAGAATACAATGTGGAAAAATATGAAATTGTCCATTTTAGTAGGTAGAACAAAAAAGCGTATTATTTAAATAATGAAAGATTGTAGATGCAGTGGGTGTCGAGTACATGAACCACAAAGGTTAATGTGCAGGTACAGATAAAGGTAGAATGTAATTCCATAGTCCTAGCAGGCCATTGGGCTACTCTGAGATACGACTGATGGTGGTTTAACCTGAGGGTCACCCGCCTCAGCCAGAGAAGAGGTTGAGGAGGATAGTCCTTCATGATAACCCTAGCCATGCAGGAACTGAACCCATGCAGTTGGCATGACTCTACACTGCAAAGCAGCACTCCAACCAACTGCACTAACCGAGCCCTGCAGGTACAGCAACTAATTAGGAAAGCTAGTAAAATGTTATTATTTATTTTGAAAGCAATTCAATACAAAAATAGGGAGGTTATGCTTCAGTTTTACAGGGTACTTGTGAGACCACATCTGGAGCACTGTGTACAGGATTGGTCTCCTTACTTAATGATGGATATAAATGTGTTGGAAGCAATTTAGAGGTTTATTGGACCAATACCGGGGATGGTCAAGTTGTATTATTTCTAAAGGTCAGAGAGACTTGACTTGTATCCACTGGTGTTTGGAAGGTAGGAGATAACTTGATTGATAAATGAAATCCTGTGGGATCAGGACAGTGTTGATGTGGAAAAAATATTTCTGAAGGTGGTTACCTTGGAGTACAACGGGACCTTGATCAGATGGGCCAATGGATTGAGGAGTGGTAAATGGAGTTTAATTTATATAAACGTGAGGTGCTGCATTTTGGAAAAGCAAATCAGGCTGGACTTACACACTTAATAGTAAGATCCTGTTGCTGAACAAAGAGACTTTAGAGTGCAGATTCATAGTTTCTTGAAAGTAGAGTTGCAGGTAGACAGGATAGTGAAGGCAGCGTTTGGTATGCTTGCCTTTATTGGTCAGTGCATTGAGTATAGGAGTAGGGAGGTCATATTGCAGCTGTACAGGACATTGGCTAGGTCAGTTTTGGAATAGTGTGTTCAATTCTGGTCTCTCTGCTATAGGAAGGATGTTGTGAAACTTGAAAGGGTTCAGAAAAGATCTACAGGAATATTGCAGAGTTTGAGCTATAGGGAGAGGCTGAATAGACTGGGGCTATTTTCCCTGGAGCATTGGAGGTTGAGGGGGGACCCTTATAGAGGTTTTATAAAATCATGAGGGGCATGGAAAATTTAATACGAAAGGTCTTTTCCCTGGGTTAGGGAAGTCCAAATCTACAGGGCATAGGTTAAGGTGAGAGGAGAAAAATTTAAGCGAGAGACGTAAAGGGGCAACTTTTTCACACAGAGGGCGGTGCGTGTCTGGAATGAGCTGCCAGGGAAAGTGGTGGAGGCTGATACAATTATTGTGGGAGAACTTCAAACTGGGGGTCATTATTTAAAAATAAGGGGTCATTCCTTTAAAACAGAGGTAATGGGACGTTTTTCTTACAAACGGTTGCAAAACCTTGGAACAGACTTCCTCAGAAGGCATTGATGCAGAGTCTTTGATTATTTTTAAGGCAGAGGTAGACAGATTCTTGAAAAGGGGCTGGAAGAAATGTGGAGTATTCAGCTTATCCATGATCTTACTGAATAGCAGAGCAGGCTCGAGGGGTGAATAACCTACTTCTGTTCTTAATTTGTATGTCTTTATGTACTCGGACAAGATTTCTACACCTCATTATACTTAAATTCTATCTTCACTTAAAATGCAGAATGGTACCAAGGGAGCCAATTTAAAATGATTGAAGATTAAAAGCATTTACCCTGCCTGCTTCAGCAACTCACTGGAGGAGGCTCCATAAATATCCCCATCCTCAATGATGGATGAGCCCAGCACATCAGTGCAAAAGATAAGGCTGAAGTATGTGCAGCAATCTTCAGCCAGAAGTGCCGAGTGGATGATCCATCTCGGCCTCCTCCAGTGGCCCCCAGCATTACAGATACCAGTCTTCAGCCAATTCGATTCACTCCACATGATATCAAGAAACGGTTGGTGACACTGGATATTGCAAAGGCTGCGGGCCCTGACAATATTCCGGCAATAGCACTGAAGGCTTGTGCTCCAGAACTTACCGCTCCCCTAGCCAAGCTGTTCCAGTACAGTTACAACACTGGTATCTACCCAATAATGTGGAAAATTGCCCAAGTATGTCCTGTACATAAAAAGCAGGACAAATCCAACCCGTCCAATTACCGCCCCATCAGTCTCCTCTCGATCATCAGGAAGGTGATGGAAGAGGTCATCAACAGTGCTAACAAGCAGCACCTGCTCAGTGATGCCCAGTTTGGGTTCTGCCAGGGCCACTCAGCTCCTGACCTCATTACAGCCTTGGTTCAAACATGGACAAAAGAGCTGAATTCCAGAGGTGAGGTGAGAGTGACAGCCCTTGATGTCAAGGCTGCATTCGACCGAGTGTGGCATCAAGGAGCCCTGGCAAAACTTGAATCAATGGGTATCAGGGGGCAAACGCTCCGGTATTTGGAGTCATACCTGACACATAAGAAGATGGTCGTGGTTGTGGGAGGTCAATCATCTCAGCTCCAGGACATCTCTGCAGGAGTTTCTCAGGCTGCTTCATCAATGACCTTCCCTCCAACATAAAGTCAGAAGTGGGGATGTTCGCCGATGATAGCACAATGTTCAGCACCATTCGTGACTCCTCAGATACTGAAGAAGTCCATGTTCACATGCAACAAGATCTGGACAATATCCAGGCTTGGGCTGACAAGTGGCAAGTAATATACATGCCACACAAATGCCAGGCTATGATCATCACCAATAAGAGACAATCTAATCGCTGCCTCTTGACATTCAATGGTATTACCATCACTGAATCCCCCACTATCAACATCCTGGGGGTTACCATTGACCAGAAATTCAACTGGATTCACCATATTAACAGAGTGGCTGCAAGAGCAGGCCAGAAGCTGGGAATACTGCAGCGAGTAACTCATCTCCTGACTCTTCAAAGCCTGTCCACCATCTACAAGGCACAAGCCAGGAGTCTAATGGAATACTCCCCACTTGCCTGGATGAGTGCAGCCCCAACACTCAAGAAGCTTGACACCATCCAGGACAAAGCAGCTCGCTTGATTGGCACCACATCCACAAGATCTACTCCCTCCACCACTGATGCTCAGTAGCAGCAGTGTGTACTATCTACAAAATGCACTGCAGAAATTCACCAAAGATCCTCAGACAGCACCTTCCAAACCCACGACCACTTCCATCTAGAAGGACAGGGGCAGCAGACATGTGGGAACACCACCACCTCCAAGTCACTTACCATTCTGACTTGGACATATATCGCCGTTACTTCACTGTCGCTGGGTCAAAATCCTGGAATTCCCCCCCTAATAGCATATTGGGTCAACCCACAGCAGGAGGACTGCAGTGGTTCAAAAAGGCAGCTCACTACCACCTTCTCAAGGGCAACTAGGGATGAACAAGAAATACTGGCCAGCCAGCAACGCCCACATCCCACAAATGAATAAAAAAAAAACCTTGTTACTGAATCTTCAAAATTATCATTTAAATATCAGTTTTCAGTGTTTGTAATTCCTTGTTAATTTCCCACAAATAGAAAGCAAAATAAAATAAAAAGCAAATACTAAACTATAACTAGCTTGTCCAAGGAGGTTTATATCAACGTTAACTTTTTCACAGTTCAACTTCCAACTCAACTTAAGAGTGCTTGAGGTCATCATCATGCACGGACAAATGTATCAGTTAAATGGTTCGTTTCCATCCTCCTGACTTGAGATCGATTTGTTACCATAACATCCAAGGCAAAGTGAAGCTAATTTAACATCAAAAAACCACTTTCTTCTAGATATTTAATATTAAGTTAAAAATGACTCGAAAAGCATCAGATAGGAGGAGCTCGGTTGAATCAACTCGTGAAATATGAAGATTAATTGAGGAAACTCACATTTTAACTCTGTTTTGCCCTGCATCTCAAAACATTGAGAAGTTTCAAACTATCCTTTCTGTTAATTTCCCAAGCTTAATGGTTTCTTTGACAAACATCAGAAAGCGATCTCTAAATGTACTTTGGTGATATGCTCGAAAAATCTATTTCAGAAAATGTAAGGAACTCAGGAAATAGGTTGGGGAAGGGGGCAGAAGGGGAATGGAGAATGTGGTTTGAGAGTGAGAACAATAGTAAAGTTGCTCAGTGTTGTTAAATACCAGGTGGTTACCCTACACCTTCTATCACCTGGTTGCCCAAGACATCCAGCAGTTTTCTTTGTAGAAAGACTATCTTCATCTTTTCTAAAAGGCAAAGATGGGTTAGTTGACATTAGTTGGGGAGACAGTGATGTAGTGGTATTGTCACTAGGCTAGTAATCCAGAAACCCAGGTTAACATTCCAAGGACAAGAATTCTATTGTCATTATTGCATCTAGTGAAATTTGAATTAAGTAAAAATCTGGAATAAAAATCTAGCCTAATGGTGCCAACGTAACCACTATAAACTGTTGTAAATCCATTCAGTTCATGAATGCCCTTTTGGGAAGGAAATCTGCTGTCTTTACCTGGTAGGCCTACACATGAATGCAAACCCACAGCGATGTGGTTGACTCTCAACTGCCTAATGGGGAGTTAAGGATTTAAGCAGGGCTTTTCACCCAAAAGCACCAGCCTTCCCTTTTGGTTTTTTTTTCAGAAAGGATTCAAGCCTAGTACATTGGGCAGTTAGATCTTGCCAATTATTCAAAAAACTGCACAATTTAGTATAGTTGAGAGCACTTGGTTAGAGTGCCATGGTGGCCACTGCTACATTAGAGCTCACAGCCCCCTGTTTGGGAAGCCCTGTCCTAGCCCACCATTTGGGCAAGAGATCAAAGTTAGATTTTCAAGTTACAGTCTCAAAACCAACATGCACGGCCAGAGACTTAATTTGTCAACACTGCTGCTTCTCAAGGGCTCACACCACACTTCAGCCTCCAAGTATATTTCCTTATTCAGGTTTTACTAGCAATAATCAATATTTTTACTGCCTTCCAAGTCTGATATATTGTATTAATTTTGGGAATGTGTATTAATTTAAACAGAATAGCATCTGCACATAATCCTACAGCTGTTAACCAAAATTTAGCAGATAAAGGCATTTTACATACTATCATGACACTGTAAAATGAACCACTTTTCCTTCAAAGTCTACATTAATACGTAGTAAAAGTATTGCACTCAAATGTCCCAAATGCTATCACTGAGAGGCATTTCTAACTGTGTAAAAGAAATATGATGCAATTTCCATCGTTAACCCTTCAATCATCGTGAGAAGTATTGTGAAATTCATCATGCACTGGGTGAGAAACTGCTTTCTATGAATTGGGTTAATTTTGTTTCTTTCTGTCCTTTGCCGATACCAAGTTATCAGTTTTAAATTGGCTTACCAATTAGTCAGCCAATCATCCACATAAAGTATGCAGAACAGTTTGTTTGTTTCAACAGCTTTGGTTATTTGTAATTTACTTCTGACAATAAGATAAGATTACATTCAAGATTTTCTCCCTGTGACTGTGTGGGTTTCCTTTGGGTGCTCTGGTTTCCTCCCACAGTCCAAAGATGTGCAGGGTAGGTGGATTGGCAATGCTAAATTGCCCGTAGTGCTCAGGGATGTTTAGGTTAGGTGTGTTAAACATGGGAAATGCAGGGTTAGGGGAAGGGGTCTGGGTGGGATGCTCTTTGGAGGGGCGGTGTGGACTTGTTGGGCCGAATAGCCTGTTTCCACACTGTAGGGATTCGATGATTATATAATTATATTCAAGCTACAGATGACATTTATTCTCACCTCCTTGCCCTTACCTGCCACCAGGGTTTTTGATTCTGAACTGCTTTGGGATACTTGCTGCTTTTCTTTGCAAGTACCTTCAGACTTTTTAAATTGCCCTACAACGTAGTCTGATAGAACATTCCTTGAATGGTTTGCGGTCTAGTTTGTCATTGGTCATCAAAAGTTTGAATAACAGCCAGATAGACATTATTCATGTAATACTGACAAATCCTGGTATAGCCTTTCTGATATTATTAAGTATCAAAATCGCTGTTTACAGAAACAGTGGTGATAAACCAGGTATTCTCGTTTTCCCAACAAATTGCATGTGCTCAGATTTGTGTGCCTATTATATAGGCATGTGCCATCAACAATAGAATTTAGTAAGGATAATATATTTATTCTGAATAAAAGATAATTTAAGTTTTAGTGATTACTGGTATATAGTATTGCATCAACATATTAAACGTAAATTTAAAGCTCTTACATTCCACTGTTGCATCAGCACGTTAACTGCGTAAAATGTATTTCAGTTTTATAAATAGCAGTTGCTGTCATTAAAATGGTTTTCACTCCTCTATACAAGCCAAGAACACCCAATAAATTCTCTTTAGATGATATATAAATTCCTAGACTTCTTTTCCAAGGAGTATACTTTAGTTGTTCCAATATCTCTGATGGCATGGCTGCCAATGTGTCTGGTTCTCTTTGGAAAAACAAAAGAAATCTAAAACAAAAACAGAAATTGCTTCGTGAAACTCAGCAGGTCTGGCAGTAATATGGAAAGTTACTGGATCCAAAATGTTGACTCTGCTTGCTCTCCACAGAGGATGTCAGACCTGCTGAGTTTAATGACCTTTAAGACATCAATTAAACTAGCATTCAACTCAAGTGTTGGAGTCTACTCAAAAAGCAGATCAGTAATTGTAATAATGCCATTTCTGGAAAACAGCTACCAAATATACAATGAAAAATCATTCAATAAAATGGAAAATAACTTAAGATGCAGTGCTCATAATGAACCTGAAATTAAAGAAGTTGGAAAATTGCAAAGAAATCTTGCATATTTATGTGTGGAAATATATTTCTGGAGACAAAACTGTCCTCTTTTAATGTCAAACATAGCAGTATAGAAAATAGGTACAGGAGTAGGCCCTTTGAATCTGCACCACCATTCGATATGATCATGGCTGATCATGCAACTTCAGTATTCCATTCCCGCTTTCTCTGAAGCATAAGAAACTCCTATAAAGTTGAAACATTCAATGCACAGGGAATGGAAATAGATTGAAACCTTGAGATTGCTAAATAAGGATTGTCGTCATTTGGGAACTGTACAGGGGCACAGAACAATTTGTAATTTAAACAGCACAGTACCCCATGGGCTCTCTTTTCAATAGTAGAGCATTAATTTGCCTTCAGTTTTACCTGACATAAAGGGATCGCTTCTGGCTGGTCCGCAACGACCCTGATCCTGAGCTAATGCTGCTGTTCATCATCTGCTCCCGTAGGTCATGGATTTTGGCTTCAAATCTGCTGTATTCTGGAGAAACAGAAATTTCTAAGATCAGTGAATTTCTCTTGCACACCTACTAGCCAAACTAAGCAATGAAGATACAGAGATAGTAGGAACTGCAGATGCTGGAGAATCCGAGACAACAAGGTGCAGGGCTGGATGAACACAGCAGGCCAAGCAGCATCATAGGAGCAGAGAGGCTGACGTTTCGGGCCTAGACCCTTCATCAGAAAAGGGGGAGGGGAAGGGGGTTTTGAAATAAATAGGGAGAGAGTGGGAGGCGGATAGAAGAGGGATGGAGGAGAGGATAGGTGGAGAAGAAACAAACAGGTCGAAGAGGCGGGGATGGGGCCAGGAAAGGTGAGTGTAGGTAGGGAGTTAGGAAGGGGATAGGTCAGTCCAGGGAGGACGGACAGGTCAAGGGGGCGGGATGAGGTTGGTCGGTAGGAGATGGAGGTGCGGCTTGAGGTGGGAGGAGGGGATAGGTGGGAGGAAGAACAGGTTAGGGAGGCAGGGACGAGTTGGACTGGTTTTGGGATGCGGTGGGGGGAGGGGAGATTTTGAAACTTGTGAAATCCACATTGATACCATTGGGCTGCAGGGTTCCCAAGCGGAATATGAGTTGCTGTTCCTGCAACCTTCGGGTGGCATCGTTGTGGCACTGCAGGAGGCCCAGGATGGACATGTCGTCTGAGGAATGGGAGGGGGAGTTGAAATGGTTCGCGACTGGGAGGTGCAGTTGTTTGTTGCGAACCGAGCATAGGTGTTCTGCAAAGCGGTCCCCGAGTCATCATTGCTCTTCTTGAATAAAAGCAACTGCCAATGCTTCGCAAAACGCCATGATTATTGTTCAAAATTAACAGTTTTAATTGTGGATTGTGAGTTACTAGCCAATCAAGGTGTTATTCTCACTTTCACATTTGCACAAGGAGCACATTATTGATTTGGCGTTGCTCTACCTCAGGTCTAAAGGTTAGGACACAATGAGAACAGTATCATCTATCGATAGCAGTGAAAGCAAAGTTAAAGTACTTCTGAAGCTGGATTATTTTATATTCCAGCACTATGCAGAAATGAACACACAACTGTCAACATATATAATTAACAATATCAGTCTAGATAGCTCTTGGGTCCATGTAATAACTTGCATGAAAACATTGTGAAATACATCAAATTTAAGTTCTTGAACAGTAAACTTGGATTATTTCACAAATATGAGGAATATTAATGGTCTTACAAGGAGTTTACAGCACACTAAGGATGTGCAGCGCATTGTTGGTAGTTATTTCAGATGGCATTAACAAAACAATATGACAAAATAAGACTTGGTGTAAACCAAAATACTACACAAGTGTTAAAAGAAGTTTCAAGGATCTCAAAGGTTTGGGACTCCAAAGATAATTATAACTCACTTCAGCATGGCTTACCTGAAATTCTTAACTAAATTACTGCCTGTGATTCACTTCCACTTAACACAAGGTGTTTCACTTTGGGACTAACTGCTAATGTTAAATTATTGAACCAGGCAAAACTGACTGAAATAATTAAAGGAAAACGCTGAACACCAACAGTTACAAGCATTAATATTAAAATATTAACAGCTATGAAGTAAACAAACCAAGCTGCCGCACTGAATTATTTCATTGTTCTGTAATTAGAAGGTGCACAGTATGTGCTGCAAACAATCACACTTCACAATTCTTGCATTACTGACTAAAAATCTCAGCATGTTAAAGAAAGACAGTGAAACAGAACAGACCAGCTGTCGACATTTTAGAAGATGATCGAGAATTTTATGCTACAAACCTTCCAACTGTAATCTTAATTCAGAACCGCAAGAGATTAATATACATTATGAAGATAACTCTATATGCATTAAGTTTAAATAATACAACGGCACTCGAAGAAAATTTGAATTAGACATAAAGCGTATTTTAAACAAGTGGCAATGCCATTCAACGTTTTATTCATCAACCACCTACTTACGTTAGGCTTACGCTTTAATTAACAGAATGCTTCTCAGCTGTCCCAAATAAGCATCATTACCAAAATCATGAGGCGCATTTCCATAGGGTAAATGCTGCAATTCTCAACTGCTAATTTTAAACTATACTCATTCTGGATTACGGTTTTGCAGAAAGATACTGATATCTTCCAAAATATAAATTAATTCACACACAGACAACTTCCTTGCTTTCCGTCAAGCCCAGGTCAATATCCACTGGCAGTACAAACTACCTCAAATTACCTTTAGTGTCTCATTTGCAGTACCGCCCCCGAAATTCCACTCATTCCACAATTAGCATTCAATGTGAACATCTGATCACTGCACAGAGTTCCAAGCAGCTCTGAGCAGTGATTCTCAATGCCACAATGGAGGTCATAGACTTGAAATTAAAACATCATGACAGATGCAACGAGACTCTACAGAAATGCATTGTTCCGTTACCTGAATGCGGTTTACAGGATGATTATCAGTTAACATCCAATGATCAAGAAGAGACGTCCACAAAGATGCAATTTTAATATGCTAATCAATTTACAAATAATTCTCATGCAAGTCTTACTATCGGTAATCATAAGGTTTCAAACAAAAGCTTGAGTAGGCTTATGCTGGAACAAATCAAAGTGATTTGCATGTGAAAAAAAATTGATTTAAACATACAAGATATTTTGAATTTTCTTTGTGATTTTGATCCATGATCCATACATCCAGAATTGCTGAAGGAACAAAATGAAGTCTTGCTTTGACTGTCATAAGAAATGTTTCTTTCTCATCCTTCAACCTTTTCAGCCAACTAATTAATTGCCCATCTGTCCCTTGTTTAGTTTCCTATTGTGGTATCCATCATTTTTTCCCACAAGGCTGAGGAGACAGGAGAGCAGTATTCCCCCCAATGTTAAGAGCAATGTACAACTAAGTTTAATTATTTTCTACTGTGTGTTAATGGGGCGACACAATTTGATTTGATTTTTGAGTGTTCTTGTGGGGTGGTGAAAAATCGGGAGCTTTGCTTTGTTTTAGGAGCATTTTAATGAGTTATTTAAGGGTTGAGTTCAACAACACAGTACATTAAAAACATAGATTAAAAACTGTGCTGTTGATTAGTGACAGGGTCCAGTAACGTACAGACAGAAACTGAATATTCTAAAAGTTAGTCAGCATGGCGTATGCCACAGAGTGAAGGGCCAAGACATGATGGGTTTTGGGAATTTGAAGAGAAGTGTGTTTAGCTTGCAGTTGGTTTTGGGTGTCTCAAGGAGAGACACGAGATGGAGGGAAAAGCCATTCTTAACTGCACAAAAATTCACAGGAAAGAAACAGATTGCAGCTACCCCACTCCCGACCACCAAACCATCATCTCCCAAACCATCCACAACCTCATCACCTCAGGTGACCTCCCACCCACAGCCTCCAACCTCAACGTTCCCCAACCCCGCACCGCTTGCTTCTATCTCGTTCCCAAAATCCACAAACCTGACTGCCCTGGTCGACCCATTGTCTCCACCTGCTCCTGCCCCACCGAACTTATCTCCAACGATCTCGACTCCATTTTCTCCCCCTTGGTCCAAGAACTCCCCACCTACGTCCGTGACACCACCCACGCCCTCCACCTCCTCCAAAACTTCCAGTTCCCTGGTACCCAACACATCATCTTTACCATGGACGTCCAGTCCCTATACACCTGCATTCCCCATACAGATGGCCTAAAGGCCCTCCGCTTTTTCCTGTCCCACAGGTCCGACCAGTCCCCCTCCACTGACACCCTCATCCGCTTAGCCGAACTCGTCCTCACCCTCAACAACTTCTCTTTCAATTCCTCCCACTTCCCACAGATAAAGGGAGTGGCCATGGGTACCCGCATGGGCCCAAGCTATGCCTGCCTCTTTGTAGGTTACGTGAAACAATCCCTCTTCCGTAGCTACACTGGCCCTAAACCCCACCTCTTCCTCCATTACATTGATAACTGTATCGGCGCCGCCACGTGCTCCCATGAGGAACTCGAACAATTCATCCACTTCACCAACACCTACCACCCCAACCTTAAGTTCACCTGGACCATCTCTGATACCTCTCTCCCCTTCCTGGGCCTCTCCGTTTCCATCTCTGGCAACCACCTGGAAACCGATATCCATTTCAAGCCCACCAACTCCCACAGCTACCTAGAATACACCTCCTCCCACCCACCTTCCGGCAAAAATGCCATCCCTTATTCCCAATTCCTTCGCCTCCGCCGCATCTGCTCCCAGGATGAGGCATTCCACTCCCGTACATCTCAGATGTCCTCGTTTTTCAAGGACCGCAACTTCCCCCCCTCAGTGGTCGAGAATGCCCTCGACCGTGTCTCCCGCATTTCCCGCAACTCATCCCTCACATTCCCTCCCCGCAATAACAACCAAAACAGAATACCCCTCATCCTCACGTACCACTCCGGATCCAACGCATCATCCTCCGACACTTCTGCCATCTGCAATCCTACCCTAGCACCAAAGACATTTTTCCCTCCCCACCCTTATCTGCTTTCTGGAGGGACCACACTCTCCATGACTCCCCTGTCCGCTCCACACTCCCCTCCAGCCCCACCACACCTGGCACTTTTCCTTGCAACCGCAAGAAGTGCTACACCTGCCCCTACACCTCCCCCCTCACCCCTATGCCAGGCCCCAAGAAGACTTTCCACATCAAGCACATGTTCACCTGCACATCTGCTAATGCGGTATACTGTATCCGCTGTTCCCGTTGTGGCCTCCTCTACATCGGGGATACCAAGCGGAGGCTTGAGGACCACTTTGCGGAACACCTATGCTCGGTTTGCACTAAACAATTGCACCTCCCAGTCGCGAACCATTTCAACTCCCTCTCCCATTCCTCAGACGACATGTCCATCCTGGGCCTCCTGCAGTGCCACAATGATGCCACCCGAAGGTTGCAGGAACAGCACCTCATATTCCGCTTGGGAACCCTGTAGCCCAATGCTATCAATGTGGACTTCACAAGCTTCAAAATCTCTCCTCCCCCTACCACA